GGTTGAAACCTGTTATTTCTGATCCTTACCTTGTCTCTTTCCCAGCTTGTTATGTCTGTATTAACTCCAGTTATATGAAATGTCAACTTCAAAGTATTTTTGTTAAATACACAAGTAGAGCTTTGTATTTAACTAATTGTGAATTAATGTCTGTAGAGTGTGAAATACCGTTTTTAAAGTTGCTTTTACTACCCTTTGCATTTTTTTCTGTAAACTGTCTTTCACTGAAAGGACTACTACTCCCCACACCCCAAGCTCCTGTATTGTTTTATGCTTTATTGATGTTCTATCTTGTCTTTCATCTTACATCTGAAAAGCTTAATACTTGTTCTGTAAGAATGTAACACCTAGATGGCAATTTTAATGGCTGCTTGTACTCTGGCAGTAAAGCTGTAATGGCCTTTCAGTAGGGTCTTTTATTATTCTTAGTTGTTTTCCCTTATTTTTCTTCCCTAAGGCTTACTTTTGTACAGAACACTTTTGAAAAACCTTTGTGCCTTAAGTGGCCCAGGATGCCAAATATTATACACTCATCCTTTTACTAACACCTTCAGAGACTTCCTGGAACATCTACGAGTGTAGGTTCGTTGTGTTTTTGGGGTTTTTTTTTAAAGCTATCCCCTGTTCTGTGTATACAAACTGATTTGAAGCAATGCAGGCTAATATGGTTTGTATAAAGCCACTGTGCTTTGTGGAAAATGACTTATTTTTTAAAAGTAAAAAAGTGAAAAAAGCTGTAAAAATACAGCCTTGCTGCTAATGAAGCTGAATTGGACTTAAATACTAAGTAAGATGAAAACCCAGCTTTCCAACCTTGCCTAATGCTGCAAGCTACTCTTGAAAGTGATTATGAAATTTCTTAGTTTCTAGAATCCTGGAGCGTTCACCTGTATTTCCAAACTAACTATACCACTTAATAAAGGTTTCCAGCTCTGTACTGCCCTGCAGCTGAGGAAGGCTGTATCCCCCGCTGTCCTTCACATTAAGTGAATCAAGTCCATACTGCACCAGGCTAGTTCAGCTTAAGTCATTAATCTTGCAGCAGGGGTAGTTATTCAGCCTTGATTCAGTTCTTGAATTTGGCCATGGCTGTAGCATTCTCTGGTTACATTAATAACCAAGGTCCTTTCTGAACAAAAACTGACACTGAAAAAAAGCCTTCAGGGTTTAGCAAAAGGAATTTTGCTTTTTGTTATAGCTTCCCTTTGAATACAGAGTCATTTGTGCTTCTGATCTCTGATCAGATAATATTTTTTTTTTTAAAAAAAAACCAAACCCTAAACACCTCACAGTCCTCAAGTAAACCCCTGGCCTACAATAACTGCAGCTTAATGATGTGATGGAGAAGGCAGGTAGAACAGCATTTTACTTAAAAATTATTTCCACAGGAAATGATTTGATTTACATTTTTCACGAAATTAGTTCATTCACCAACTGGTTACAGAGGCTACATTTAATTAAAACTAGCCACACAGGTACTTCCTTTCTATTGCACGTTTAGAGTAGGTTCAAGTCCATCATGAGAAGTTCTTGCAGCCCAAGAGGATGGATGAGTTTAAGGTGATCATAAATGCACATAAGACTTCTGTAGCAATTGGATAAAATTTAATCCCGCAAAAGCTGCAATATACTGAAATGAGACAAGTGGCTTCAAAAGGAGAGCCATTTCCTAAAATCCTGACCGCTCATTCCATTGAGCGGCTGACCAAAGCTGCAGTTAGGATTTCTGCACTGGGGGCTGTGTGTAGTCCTTTGAGCCTGGTGGTGGCAGCGGGGCAGGGCCCGCAGGGTAGTCCCTAGGTCCTGCTGGAGGCAAGTCTCTGCTAGGAGAAGGTGTATAGTCTCTTGAACCAGGCGGGGGTAGCCGTGGGCCTGGAGGATAATCTCTTGGGCCAGGAGGACGTAGAGGTCGAATCGGAGGGTGCGCACGTCCATAGCCTCTTGGATCTGGAGGAGGCGGTAGTGGGCCAGGAGGCAGATCTCTCATTCCTAAGGGTGGGCCAGGTAAGAAATCTCTTGCATCTGGAAGTGGCAAGGGAGCACCATGAACTAGAGGGAAAACATGGAGTTAAGCGAAATCTTGGTTTACCCACAGTGGTGAAGCTCCTGACTCATTCCACATTTCTTCACTTTTTGGAGCAGCTCTGGGGTGGGGCACTGTCACATGCAGATCTGACAGGCCACGAATTACATTCTAGTGACTTTTGGCTGCTGGTTTCCAGTTTATACCAAACAAGGAAAACTACCTCCTCAATACCTTAGCAGTCTTGAAAAACTCCCATCTGACCAAGCTTATTGTGCAAGACAGCCAGACCCCACGACGTGTGGAGAAGCTGTTGGCTAATGCATGGCAGATCTCAGTTCTGCAGCAGCCTTCCAAGAAGCACAGTGAGAAAACTTAAGTTTTGGCACACGGCAATGTGACTGTACCTGAGGGCACTGGAAGAGGTCGAGGCCCAAAGTGCCCACGGAGAGGAGCTGGCAGCGGTCCGTAGCGAACAGGTGGTGGAGGTCCCATCACTGGGGAGGTCATGGTAGGTGTCCCAGGGAAAGAAGGTGGGCCTTTGGGACTAGTATTAGCCTGTGCAAGATTAGGTCATACTTCAGCATCTTACTCGCTGTAGGACATAAGTATTGATACTGCTGAACACCACAACCCACATGCCCAAAGGCCAAGATGTGAAAGAGGGGGGGCAGGGAAGAAAAGAAAAAAAAAACAGAAGAGAAAAAAAAACAACAAAAAAAAAGGAGAACAACAGAGAAACACACCCTAAAACTCATTAACCAAGTAAAAAAATCAGGAAAGTTATGCAATGCACCAGCATTGTCCCTTAACCCAGAAGACTGCTTGCACTACCTAGGAGTGTTAAGTGTACCTTCTGAGATGACAAATTTTCTTCAGCTAAAGATGTACTAAGGAAAAGTTCAATCCCTTTTGAAGTGTCCTTGGCAGACACCCCCTTGGTAAAGGGCCTGGCACCTTTAATTACATATGGAACTGTGCTTAAATACCACAGGTAAGTCAGCTTAAGATTATTGCTGTAGTCACTCCAAAGTGTTTGCCTGCAGTCCTTAACAAGAAAGATCTCATTTCCTGAACTCCATAAAAACACAGACAGCAAGTGTTCATCATTAGAGAAACCTTTTGAGACAGAGGTATAAGCCCTTGGTTAGTTTTGCAGAGCTTTTTGTTATTTAGCAGTTCAGAACACCAAGCCTGTTATTCCTCTCCATCAAAGCAAAGTAACACCATAATCAGCCTCTGAATACTCACTGTAGCTGGTTCAATAGATGAAGGTGAATCACTAGTTACACATGGGGCTTCAGACTCTTTGGGAGAAGATTGCTTTTTTTTTTTTTGACAGCAAATAAGGATAGTGACAGGATATAGACAAGACAGAACATGATACAGTTAAAGAAGCAGCAGGAAGTACAGTGAATCATGTATTAGGAATGTTTCCAGAAGGCTGGGGGCTTTTTCAGCTTACCACTCCATCCACGGCTGTGGAAGGGGAGGAGGTTCTTGGCCTACTACTGATCGAGGATGCGACAGCAGGCCTGAGATCTGTAAAGAGAGCCACAACTGCATATGTTGCCACACATGAGGTAAGGATCATGGTTTTTAAATTACATTTCTTAAGTGAGAGAATAACTGAAAAAGTTGCAGCCGATTGCAGGCCACAGAACTTACCAGAAACAGACATCCTTCCAGGTAACTCAGGTGGCCCTCGTGGAACTGGGGGCCCATCTACCACTGTACCTTAAGGGAAACAACAACCCCAGAGATCCTCAACACGTGCCTGAGCTATTTATTTAAAAAAAACAAACAAAAAAACCCCAAACAACCCCCACCACTTATCTGTGTATTAATAAAGCAGGTATCAATAGAATCATAGAACAATTCAGGTTGGAAAAGACCCTTGGGACCATCGAGTCCAACCATTAACCCTACACTACAAGGTCACCCCTAAGTCATATCACTCAACACCGCATCTACGCGACACTTAAACACATCCAGGGATGGCGACTCAACCACCTCCCTAGTCAGTCTGTTCCAGGGGCTGACCTCTCTTTCCATGAAGAGTTTCTTCCTAATGTCCAGCCTAAACCTGCCCTGTTGCAACTTGCAACCATTCCCCCTGGTTCTGTCCCTGATTACCTGTGAGAAGAGACCAGCACCAACCTCTCTACAATGTCCTTTCAAGTAATTGTAGAGCGTGATGAGATCCCCCCTCGGCCTCCTCTTCATCAAACTGAACAGACCCAGCTCCCTCAATCGCTCCTCATAAGGTCTGTTCTCCAGGCCCTTCATCAGCTTTGTTGCCCTCCTCTGCACTCGCTCCAACACCTCGATATCTCTCTTATACTGAGGTGAATACTTAACACTATCCCTAGAACCAAAAAATCACTCTCAGCCTTCTTGGGTTTGTCCAGCCTATGCCATTCTATGATTCTATAGTTATCACAGAAAAGAAGTTTCACTGCTTACCAAATTCACCTCTTGAGCCTTCCCTTCGAGGTGCAGAAAGGGGCCAAGGAGGAACTTCTATCATCTGTGTGGGGGATGGATTTCCTCCACCCACAGGTGATGGACCAAAAGAGCCATCTCTGCTTAAGGGCTCTTTCCAAAGAGGAAAACACACTTGATTTACTTTTCTACAATTTATCATAGCCTTATTTTTGTAGGATATACTGATTCAAAGACCAAAATTTTGGGAGAAACAGCAGCATTTACCTCGTCGCGGTGGGACTTGGCGATCAGGTCTGCCTGGAGTCGGCTTTACAATTAATGGTCTTTGATGCATAACAATTTTTTGGTTTACTTCTATTAATCTAATTTTAAAAAATAAAGGTTTTTTTGTTATTCAAATAATACACGTGACATATTTGTTGTAATGTAATAAAGCAAACTCTGCTGTATAATGTTACAGCTTTCACCAAGAAATCTTATTTTAACCATCAAACAGTTGAACAGTAGTTTAAAAATTAGCAACCCCAATATGCACTGCACATTCCGAGCAAGCAGGCTAACAGAGCACCTTGCATTGTTTGAGCTCCTCCTCTCCCAAGCAACACGCTGCATGTTCAAAGAGCAACAAAAACAGTCCACGCTGTACTTACTTCTGTCTCAGATTGGCTACTTCTCTTTTTTCTTCAGCTAGAGCTCTCTCAGCAGAGCGGGCAATAAGCTGTTAGGGAAAATTTTGCCAATTGCATTAACTGTAGCAGCCTGAAGTCAAACACAAATTGTTTGCATCAGAAAAGGAAGAACATGCTCACCCAATTGTCATGTGCCTTTTTCTCATGAGCAGCAATCTGAGAAGAAATGAAGCATTTTATTTTATTTTGTCCAACTACTAGTATTTCCAATAACTCACTACAGAGCATTGGAATGATGTGGTAAAAGGGACACAATAGCCAGCAAGGAAGAAGTTTACCTGTTTTTTATAAGATCTCTCTGTTTTTTGCAATTCTTCTTCCATATCTTGGATCCTTTGCCTGTGGAGAAGGAAAAAGAGGGGAAGAAGAGAGGCTTAAATGAATTTCCTTCGACAGCCAAAATAAAGGAAAACAAGTCTTTAGAAACTGAAGTTACTTGTAAACTTTCACTTCTTCGATGGCAAGCACAGCTTTTTCATCTGCAGCAGACAATTTCTGCTCCTTCTCCTGACGCTCATACTCTTCCTGGGTTAGCTTTCTGCATAGGACAAAAAAATAATTTCCACCATCATACATCTATTATGACTCAAAATCAAGCTATTCCCTTGCTAACAACAGTGATACCAGAATCTACAATAATGCATGAGAATACAGAGAGAGAATAGAGAGACAATAAAGACATTTAAAAAAAAAAAAGACATAAATACTGTCTTTTGAAACTAACAGACAAACCCTTTGGATATAAAATCTGAAAATTAAGGACAGGGAGTTGACGGCAAAGTCCTGTCAGCATCTAAGGACTGGTCAGAATCTATTTAAGCGCAGAGTTCACCTCTTCAGATACTGTAGTTTGCTCACCAATTCTACAGATGGCAATCCAGATTTACAAAAGTACAAAGAAATATGCAGAACGGACATCTAACCAAGGGAAATGAAGAAACCAACATGTAGTGAGAAAAGCGGAATTTAGAGCCCAGGTGACAAACACACTCCAATAGCCATCAACCATGTGGAAAGAAGCTTTTTTCCAAGTACTCTCCATACCAATTTACTACACAACCAGTTTCCAGTCTTTTGATAACCTCACAGTTTACTACTGTTTTTATTTTGGACATTCTTCTGGAACTATTTAAGAGGTCCATAATGTATGCCTAACTTACAAGAGCTATCCAGCAAAACTGGAACCATTAAAACACTAGTAAGTTAACTATTGTCCATAGCCGCATCAACATCATCCATTTCCTTGGCTATATGTGGAAACGGTTTTCCAGGAAAAAAACCTGTAGGAAGTCCTTCACTCTAGCCAAGAAGCAGTAACATGCAGTGTAAGTTCCTAAAAGTTTTTGGAGCAAATAGAAATCCTTCAGAGAAGTCAAGTTTTCCCTGAAAGATGGATGCTCCCTAATATGTTTATTACACCTCGATCCTGAAGTCATAAGGTCAGGCAGTTTCCCTACTGAGGTCCTGCACAGCCTCAATTCCCTATCTTGTTCCAGCCCTGTGCTCCAACCTTCATATTCAAACCTCAGAACTTTCAGTTGCTTCCCCACTGCAATTTCAGCTCTCCTATAGAATTTAGCTGAAAATGTCCCTGAATTCTCTCAAATTTTCCCTGCAAAATAACTAAAATAAAGGACTGAACACAGATATGCAATAGTTCTTCACTGCTAGCAATTCATTCATCTCAGCTGCCACCACCAACTCAGCCTTAATTCAGCCCTTGGAGAATGCAGAAAGCTCACAAGGGTAACATACAAGTTTCTACATTGTGAGAATTAGATTCACTGAACTGAGGGTCAAGTAACTGAAACAAATCTTAACGACCACTGTATTCTCCTTGTCATTTCTGGAACAGAGCAACCACCTACATAGTAGGTGGCAATATTGTGTGTGCAAAGTGACATTCTTTTTAGATTCTCTGGAATGGCAGAAAAAGCAAAAAGGGGTACTACCTTCAACCATACCAGAACAGCAGTCACCACCTTTCACTTCAAATATAACTTGAAAAAAAAAATTTGGATAGTGCCTAAGATATACTGTGTTGTGGAAGAGTAACAGAAAGCTTACTTCTGGAGCGCCATCTCCTTCTCCCGGTAGAGTTCACCAAGAATCTCCACTTTCTGCTGCAGTGATTTGCATTCATTTTCTAGTCGAGCCTTGGCCGACTGGAGCGAACAGGAGTCGTGTTCCAATTTTTTTATCTGCTCTGTTGTTAAAGCAAACGTAGGTAAGGAAGTTGAAGGAAGTTGCAATGAGAACTGTTACGCCACTCAAAACACTCTGTTTCTTTTTAAATGACAAACAGCATTTTATCCTCAACAATTCTTTTCCTAAGCCTACCTTCTAGCTCATGTCTTGCTTTTACTTCATCACTCAGTTTGGATTGCAGAAGATTTCTGTCTTCTTCAGCTATGGATAACATAGTTTTTACCTGGGAAGAGGAGCAGAAAGCATAGTTTTTACCTGAGAAGAGGAGCAGAAAGTTTATTATCTTAGGCATAGCAGTAATGTGACTGTGTTTATTAGATATCTTGTGCATCATACCCTTGAGACATCCATCATTTGCTTAATCTGAGTCTTCATCTTCTCACTCTTATTATCTAGAAGAGAAAAATACACTGTTTTCCCTGGTTTTTATCCTCAACTCCCTGGTCTCTACAACTGTGAAATAATACTCCCTCTACTTTAATTTGGGATAGGTCTCCTTACATGGTCAAAAAACAAAACAAAATAACAACAAAAAGAAGACATAAAGGTGAGGAACAAGGCACAATAGCAATTCCATAACCTGCAGAAGAGAACTATTATTCCAAAAGGCATTGGGAAGATTTCTTCACCTTCTTCCTGCTGCCACATGTTAATGAATGCAGGGTCTGTTACTGGTCAAGTTGCTGATTGTTATTGGTCAAAACCAGTTGTTACTGGTCACGTTACTGGTCAAAATCAAAAAGTATGTATTTCCAGCCCACATACTTAAACAAAACACCAAAACTCAGGAGTTCAAATACAAGAGATATAGCAAATACATCTGCAACATCAGGAAGGACAAACTGCCTGAGTAGTTTTGAAAACATCTATTTCAGTCTTTCAGATTTAAAAGGTGTAATTACCTAAATTAATTATCTATCCAGACAAAAGCACAAAACTTATTAAAAATTCATATTAAAAATAAACATAGCATAAGAAGAAAGCTGAGATTTTCAGCTTTCAGAATGTTCATAATTACTAAACTTTATATGCAATCTTTAAAACTCTGCCATTAGACTTACAATACACCTAAAAGACAACCTGAAAGCAATTCCTGGCCTTCCTAACAGTTTCTCCCACTAGGAGAAATTTCGTCTCTTCAGCCACCGGCAGTTAGAGGCACAGATTCCCCTTGTTCCCCATATGACACAACATGAACACGCCACCACATGTGTTTTAGCCAGCGGGTGTACCAGCCAGCAGGCAGGATTACTGTACCTGGCACCTCTCCATTGGCCCGATCACCTCCCGCGCTCCATTCACACCCTTCGCCATCCTTCTTGGCCTCAGAATCCATGTCGAGCTGCTTCAGCTGCATAATGCAGTTAGTTAAGACCTAGTGATGAAATCAAAGGTTCACTGAAAAAGAATTGCTCTGCATTTTGTGAAGTATTTCCAAGTAATTTTATGACATGCAAGTTTTAAAGCAAGCTTGATACAAACAACCTACTTTGATTTCACTTTCCTTGTAGGCAAGTGCTTCTTCTAGGTCTTTCTGCGATTTCTGATACAGTTTGATCTGCTCACTGAGCTCAGTATGCCTCTCACTCCAACCTTCAGCTTCTTTTAGCAGCTGTATGCACACCAAGGCAAGATGATTACTTGTTTTATTTTTAGTACAGAGTACACGTAATTAAAATCTATTTTACTGCGAGCTCTGGTGATAACTGATCACCACAGATCACAGATAAAAGGTAAACTTCCCAGTTATCACACTCCTCACTAGGCCATTGGTAGAACTGGATGCTGGGAATCTTTCTGCAGTTTCCATTATTAGGCAATTTTACAAATTTGACATTTTCTCAGCCAATATCCCAATGTCAGAACCAAACTGCTCACACATTTCAAAATAGGAGGAATTAATTGCGGTCCAGAGGTAATCAAACCACACTCCTTAAAATTCCATCTACTTCATATACAGAGAAAAAAACCAGTTATTTATAATTATTCGTAAAAAGAACTGTCATGACATTTCAGGGCTAAGGGTCCTCCTGATTTAGCTTCAGAATTGCTTTTTTGGCAACTCTTTACCATGACTTCCTTCAGTTCTTATCCCAAGTAGCAATCTCCCGATCACGCAGCAACTACCACATCAGCAGACTTTCTGTGAAGCTGCTGACAAAATCTGAATCACTGGAACTGGGAAAGCGTTCATACTGAGGACATGTGGCTCACTTGCACAAAAAGCCTGAGCAGGCAGGCACACAGGGTTTTAATTTTTATCATGATAATATGAAATGTGGAATTCTGACACGTTAAGAAAACAGAGACACACTGAAGTTAATACTCAAGAAAACCAAGAATATAAAGCCCTAATATTTCATTCAAAAATCACCTGCCTGGGCATAACTTACTTGCTCTTTGCTCTTTTTCAGCCTAGCATTCTCTTCCTGCACGTGATGAAGTTCAGATTTCACCTTTTCTTCACTTAACTTAACTTCATTAAGGGCTATCTGCATCTATATATGAAAAAAATTTTAAAAAGGAACAAAAAGACAAAGTTAAACTGTAATGGGAAAAAAGCTATATAATACATGGTAAAGTGAAAAAGAAATATAGATAGATAGATAGATAAATATATATACATATATGCACAAACAACACAGAATCTGCCAAGTTAGCGTTTTCTTTTACATCCTAGATATGAATTTTCCTGGTACAAGAACTTTTGACTGTTGAGAGGGCGCAGATGATGCTTTACCTCTGAAAGCTCTACAGAATGCACAATGACAGCCTCTTGAAGTTTCTTCATGGACTTCCGGGTTTCAGAAATCTACATAAGAAAAGGTTATGTATTTGTATTAGTCTGGTGCACACCATAGCCTGAGTAATTAATTTTACCTGTGTAAACTGGAAGCGTAAAAGGAAAGTCAAAACACCACTGAATTTCCATTTAAAGCAGTCATTAGACTAGCAGCAACAGAGCACTGCCTTAGCAACAAGGTAAGAAACAGAAACATACAGCACATAAGAATTAACGTCCCTCTGTGACTCTGCCTGTTTGTTGGTGGGTAAGTTCCCTGTACACCTGCACAGTCTAGAATGAAAGTAACACATGCTGCTGTAATTAGCAACAACCTTTGATCAAAACAAGACCAAAGACCTTGTTTGGAGATTACCACAAAAATGAGGCCTTAAAATGTAGGGGGAAAAAAAAAACAAAAAAAACCAACATAAATACCTCTAGACAACAAGAACGAGGGGCAGCTGAGAGATCTTCACACTCACTATAGAACTAGATGATTTGTCTAAGTATCAGAAACCATCCCTTATCAATCTGAAGCCTTCAGCTCATATTGTTAAGGAACTTCCTGGCTCCAGCTAGGAACTGTTAGGCTAGCCCATGACTTGAACATACTCGTTTGTGTGTGAGAGCACATAATCACACAAGTCCATCAAGATCTTAAAAATAATAAATATTACAATAATATAATAATACAATCAAGAAATCCTCCTCCTTGAAGAACCTGGAACTCCAGTTCTCTTTTTGAGGTGGTTTATCTTGTTTGCTCTAACTCTACCACTTTACCCACCAGCTCATGACTAGCTTTTAGGACATATTATGTTAAGAATAATATAAGACGTGAGTGTGATTGCTCTTACCTTATTCTGTTTCTTCTCTTTCTTTTTTCTCTCTGTTTCAATCATTGCATGCAGACTTTTTACTTTGTCAGCTAGCAGACGATTTGCTTCTTCACGTCCTTTGACAGTGTCCTAAAAAAAATAAAAGGAAAAAAAAAAGAGACAGAGTAAAAGACCAAACAAAGCAAGTTATTTTACTGATGTTTTTGCTTTCAGTACAAGCTGAAAGTAAGGCTTACCTTAAGCCCTGCAGTTTCATCAGAGAGAATGTCTTTTTGTTCCTGCACCACCTTCACAGATTCCTTTGCTTCCTTTATCTAAGTACAGAAACAACCAAAACAGAACTGAGGAAATCGCCAACATAATATTCAGTAAGAACATAAAACAAAAATGTATTAGCTGTTGCATTGACTGTATCATCAAACTAATAAAAGCAAATTAGGAAAGAGAGGATAAGAACCTACAACAGTACCTTTTGATCATATTCTGTCATCTTTTCTAAGATCTCTGCTCTTTCTTGCAGAAGGTTCTTAATCTTTTCAGCAAGTTGCTTTTCAGTCACTAGGAAAAAAAAGAAAGCTTGCAGTAATTGTACTGCATATCACTACTAACACTACAGGGAACATTTTCAAGTAAGGACTATGGCATAAATCAGGACAGTGCCAATTCCCTGGCAGGCAGCCTTTTCTGCAGGACTCTAAGCACCTCCAGCTTTCATTTAAAGTTAGGATTGAAAAAAAAACTGTAAAGCATTGCACATTGACATCTTGCATCCACTACACAGAAAGTACAGCAGAGTGGAGTTAAGATGCTTGCTACAGACAGACGAGGTGTGTTCAAGGGAAGACTCAGCAGTGAGGACCATCTCAACACTGCCGTTCCAACACTTAGGGAGATGCAACATCTTCCCTAACAACCACCTTTCTGCTGTATTGAAACTGAATGTTTGGTCAGTGAAGATAACGAGATGAAAACCCTGACAGACCTACTGGCAACAGAAAAGAGGCTGTCAGCTAGCAGACTGCATCGGTAAGGCTTGAGGAACTGCACTGCTCTCTAACACATCTTAAAAGGGCTGTGACTGAGCAACAGTTTTTCAGGTATGCATTTGTTCCTCAACTTAAACAAGCTGCCAATAAACCCTTAGGATTCAACAAAAAACATTACCATACTTAAATTATTTTATTGCAAATTAAAACACATCCAGCTGTTGTTCTCCTTCAAAGTCAAACCACCCCTGCATTTCAACACCCCAAGCTCCACTTGCCTCACATCAAATCCTGCAGCACAAACAGGAAGCACTGGTTGTTCCAGCTGCATCCCACTGGGTGCAACCGCAACTGCTCCTTCTCCTCCTGCATGAGGGCTTCTGGGCCAGAGGGTCCCCAGCCCTCCCTCCCCTGGGGAGAGGAAAGCCAACAAGGGACTGCCAGGGTATAAGACAGTTCTCAGCAGTTTAAGGGGGTCAGGAATCCTTGCATTAGCTTGTTCTCCCAATTTTACTACTGTCACAAAGAGTGAATAATCAATTTTATCTTTGGGACTCCAAAATTAATCTATCTTTCAAAGTATTTTTGTCACTGTTAATATTCCTCTATTTTACATGAAGACTTGAATAAAAGATGATCTTTATCATACTTGAAGAATATCTATTTGCTCTTAGCCTTAGTAACTTCTATACGTTATCATACTGAAGAATATTGAGTGGAGGTGGGAAGAATAGACCTATGCTTCTCGTTTTTTAAAGGATGAGCTGCTAAGTAATTCCTACACCACCAATAACAATACATTTCCCCCTTCAATGATTGTTTTACAGTACAGAAATCACCTTACAGATCTAAGATGATGTTTTTTCAGCTCATCAACTCCACATTAATTGTACAGACAGCAGCTGCACTATAACTACAATGAAAATAGGAATGACTATTTGGGAGGAAGAAAGAGGTGAAAACTTCCTGTGAAGAAAATTCTTTGGTATTTTTATTTTGTATTAAGTTATGAATTTCAGCAATCGCCCTTCTTTAGAAATATATTTCTATTCCATTCAGCACATTTTCATTTCATATATCTGAAGCTAAAGAAATGGTCTTGGAAAAAGCGACGTGCTAGCCACCGGAATATCTGTATATTTAGGTCCACATTTAGAAGGTTTCTTTGCAACTGCACAGCAGTCAGTTTCAGGCTCCACTCAATCCAAAAAGGCAAGAGGAATTAGCTACTGCTCTTTGTGAGAAGCAACAAGCAAAAGTAGATCCAAAAATCAAAATCAACTATTCTCCATTACCATCTTTCCAGTAAACCAATGGATCACATCTACGTTGAACAAAGTGAAGCTTATCCTTGTCCTTTAACCAGCAGGTGTGAGCTGCTTTGTTTCTCCTAATCAAACCATTATCAAAACTAAAATTTAAATTCTCAGATTCAAGGAAGTATCATTTACTGGCCTAGCCTACAGCACAACCTTAGACTTAGCATCCTCCCTGAAAGGTAGTGAATACTTGGTCCTCTGATACAATCTTTAAAATTTTTACAAGCCTAAGCATCAAGTACACTGAAAGGTACAGAGAAACTCACCTTGATACATTCTACTCTTTACCTACAGAAAAAGGAAAAAAAAAAATTAGTGAAAAAAGTGGTTAAGTTAAAAAATTTATTAATTTTCCTTGCAGTGAAAAGGCACCACTTATACGCAGATTAAAGAAGCATGTGGAAAACATATCTATTGCTGCCAACAAGAGTGTTGAATAACACTACAAACAAGCTTAAGCTGTTTTCTAATAAAAGCTTCCAGGCTAATGCCCTGTCCTAGAGCCTTTGTAAACGCCCGTTTACTTGGTCACTAGAAGGATTGCAGTAACTGCCCACATCTGATTTGCAACAAAGAAAATGAAGCCATTTCACATCAAACGGCTGTCATGAACTTGGAAAGACAAAAAACATTTGCATCCCAGTGCTGATCCTTCTAAAGCAATGCATGTTTTCATGACCATTGCTCATTTCCAAACTAACACTGTTAAAGGAGAATTTCAGAAGCTTTCTTTTTATGCTGTTACATTAACATTAGTTTTCACTTGAAACTGACCAAGTGCTGACAGGGAGGCTGGATTAAAATGATCTCTAAGGTCCCTTCCACTCTATGATTCTATGATAAGTGTGTTCAATATCAAAACTAAGCAAGGAAAGATCTACCAGTATTGTTACAGGTCAAATTTATTTTCAATTTATTTTTGCCAAACAAAGATAAAATACTCCACAAGCTTCCAGAGCATATCATCACTGAACTGGACAGCTGTAAAATAAACTCTTCTATCTAATTTGCATTTATCAATTCCCAAGGAGACACACACTGGTACACTTGAGAGCTGGTGACAGTATTCTTCTTGCAGAAAAATTTATCCATGTAGGAAAGAGGCTAAATGTCAAGTAATTTTTTTGATCTCCAGATCAGGTGTTTAAGTTTCTAAATGCGGCACCTAAAAGCAGCTGGACAATATGAAGTGGGAAGGATTAACTGTGTTTTGGAGATAGTCAGCAACAGGCTCACGCACATGGAAGGCTTCTCATTTCCAAGATATGCTGACCCTTTCCTCGTCCTTTATTTACATCACACTCCCCTATCCTGCTTTTGAAACTCTCTCTCAAGAAATGTTCAATTAATAGCTTAAAGGAAATGTTTCACAGTCCAAATAAAATTGCAACTTAGTTTAGCTATTAAGCCTAGCATTCAATTCATATTAACACTCTAAATGCAAAAAGTAAAAACATGAAATACAGCATATTGCTTTGACCCTGGTAATGCTGCAACAGTTTAACCACATTAAAAATAGCTCAGTAAGTGAAACGCTAGCAGTATATACTCACTGAAAGGCAGGTTCTCCAAAAAATTATGGCAAGTGTGGCAATTCCCACTAAGGCAGTGACAATAACAGGCTCCCATGGAATTCCATGGAAATCAGGCCCAGGACGAATTTCCTCAGGCAGGGCAGCAACCAACTGAAAGCCAACAGCATTGACAACTATGAACATTCAATACTCAGGCAAAATAAGCAATCTGCCAAATGCTTTCATTCCTCTCCTAAAATCAGAGAACCATCTAGAGCCTTTTTGCCGTTTTTCTGTAAACTGAAAAACGAAAATGAAGAAAACCACAAGGCAGCTTGATGCTTGCAGTTCAGCTCAAGAGTCTGAGTATCCGGAAGCCACCTGACAGTTACAACCTGCTGGCAAAGAACAGCTACACCAAAATAAGCCAATACACATATTTTGTGTTACGTGGTGCTAGTAGTTATTTGAGCTGCTTCCAAATAAAGCCGTAATGATGGAAAAACATAATAAAAAAGGAAAGAAAAAAGAAATAAAAGCAGCTTTACATCCAGCTTCTACTGGACGTTTGTAACAGCTCAGACCTTTTACCGGCTGCCACCCTGCTCACAGGGTCATATGTCATGTGTCTCGTCACACGACTCTCTGAAAGGCCAGAGAGCACCAACCACCTTAAAAAAATAAAAAAAAAAGAAAAAAGAAAATGTAAAAAAAAAAGGGGTGAACACTTGGTACAGTTTACAGAGGCCGACAGGGACATGGCGCCCAGAGGAAAAACCAAACCATACCTGCCAGGTAAACATCGCTGCCTTCTCCCCGGCCACAGCCGACAGAAGCATGAGA